TGAACCCAGAGGAAGATTTTAAGACAGAAAGAAGGTGGTTACGTGGGGGCCTGGAGAAGGGTCAGGACTCAGCCACCATTTGGCCCGCTGTTTTGTTAAAGCGTTCCAGATTAAAGTAAAAGGCAAAAAGTGCCCGTTTCAGGCCCCTACTTCGGTTAGGACAGTGACAGCCCAGTGACAGGCGACCCCACCGCCACGCCAGCAGAGGGGGCATCCAGATCCCCCCCACCCCCCCGGCTCACTTGGCCGGACGGGAGACAGGACAGTGACCAGGCTGTGCAGAAGGCAAAGTGCAAACTCCTAGCACCCATGGGGCTCAGCGCAGGAGTCATTCTGTTCACGGCAGCCAGAGCAGCAGTTTGTCCTCGTCCAAGGAGGGTTCAGAAAAGGCACACATTTCAGATCAAAGTGTTCTTGTAATCAAGTTCTTTCAGGCTTGCTGGGCAGCGGGCAACTGAACACGGTCCTATTTGCAGCATTCTGCGAGAGGAAGGGGAGCAGCCGTTTCTCCGCTTGGTTAGAATCCACGCCGAAGGTTCTCTTTTCCCCTTTCCTTTCCCCTCCCTGTCTCCTAACTCACATGGACTTCAGGAGAAGCCTGGTGACAGCAATCGTAATCAACAACATGCTGATAAACTATAAACATTTGGAGAAAGTTCAAAAAATACGTTTTAACCAACAAAGTTCCGTGAACCGTGGCATCAACCGAAGGCCACATGCCTAGCAAGAGTTTTCTGTTGAGCTCATCTTACCAGCTGCTCCCTAACTTTAGCTGTGCAGGCGGCTCCCTCTCTGTGTCTTGGGCGGGAGGGGGGGGGGGCGGCGCGCTCTCTCATTTTGCTTCCAGGTGAGGTGTAGTTCTGCCTGGGTTTGCTTGCTGTTTGAGCCACTGCGGAAGGACCAGTGACTTGAGGCACTTCGAAGGAGCCGTACTTCCCTCCTGCCTCGGGTGGGCTGACCTTTCTGCAGAAGATTGGTTCAGCCTATCAAGCCCTGGAGAGCTTTCTGCATACCCTGCACAGTGCTTGGGGTTAAAACTACTGAGATGAATAGGATTTGGTCTCTGGTCCTCAAGGAGCTCAGTCTAGCGTGGAGACAAGGTGTATCACACAGACCTAGAATCAACATCAAGAATGCTGAGAAAATGTACCCAAGGTCAGGGCCCTGGGCCCACTACTGTTTCCTCCTTCACTACTAGAAGGACAAGAAGCAGATACCCACAACCTGCTGACCCCCATCTCAAAGACAATGCCAAGATTTGCAGCCAAGAAGCCCTGAGTCGTAGAGCGGGCCCAGCGGCTAACTGGCTGTGAGAACCCTACTGGGGCTCAGTTTCTCCAACTGCAATTTGAGAGGGTGAAAAGCTGCCCTTCAAATTCTCTCCCAGATCTGCGTTCTAGGAGTGTCCATGAACGTCTCAGAGACTGTGTGCAGGGTTTGAACCCGGGAGGAGCTGGCTTGGTGGCATTCAGCTGGAAAGAGTAACAAGAATTGCAAGATCTCTCTCAGGAGGAACACAAGCTGGGGTTCGGTGGAAAGGGAGAAGTTAGAGAGCGAAGACACTGCATAGAGTATCACCAAAACGAGTCTTCTGAGAGAGCTCAATTTTTTTCTTTTTTTTTTTTTTGGTAAATCTGCAGTTAGATACTGTTTACTCTTGAGTTTTCTCTCTTATAGAGAAACAAGTGGCAAACTGTTCCTCATGTTCAGTCCCAAGAATACTTCTCTCTCCACGGAACTTATTCCTTGGGGCACCTCAGTTTGCCTTGGCGGTGGTTTTTAAATAGCGGACGGCAGCGAACCTATAAACTCTCCTTGCTGATGCCGTCGGACATACAATCAAGCAGGTGTGTAGCAGGCAGGGAGAAGCAGGCGGATGAGGTCTGTCTGGCTTTGCCCTTTTGCTCGTTTCTCAGCGATTCTGCGGCTGGAGATGTGCACGTCCGACGGAGTCCAGAGCCAGCCGCTCACACACCGTAGCGCGGGTGCCGTGAAAGCGAAGCCCTCTTGCAACGTAAGACTAGCTCGCAGCCGCCTCCTAGTGTCCCCAAGCCCCCCCCCCCCCCCCGGCTCCCCCTCCGCTGGGAAGACAGTCTGGCGGGAAAAGCGGTGGGCTTACAGTCGTGAGGCCCGGTATCAGCGCTGACTGCGTGACTCTGGCAAAACCACTGAACTCGTGTGACTGAGTTTCCCATCACGGAAAGGGACGTGATCGTCGCACCTGCCCTGCTGGCCCCGGTGGGACGCTGCGAGGTTCAATTACCTCACAGACACGAAAGTGCTTTAATTCCTGAGGAGGAGACGGTGCCTTCTGGGGCAGCGATGTGGTCTGCGGGAAAGAGCCTGGGCCGTTAAGGAGCCCCGGGTCCTCGTCATCTTCTGCAAGCTCCCTGTCCCTCCAGGAGCCCAGTACTTTCTCTGTGACTTGATTTCTTCTTCTGTCAAGTGTAAATAATGCCTGCATTCTTTAGTGTATGTCTGACTTTGTGAAAACCAAATAACGGCAAGAGTATGTTACAAAGGTGACATCTCCATAAAAGTACAAGGAGCTATTTGTTAGAAGCTCTTCTTTTCGAACTAACCCTGGCACCACCGTCCCTGCCAATTTTCACATTACCAACAAAGAAAATATAATCCCACCGGCCATAATATCCTGCTTTGAAACATCTGTAGGCAACAAAGCTGAAACAACGGACTGTTTTCGGAATTATGTTCTGCTTAATTTTCCTTCCAGTGAAAACACTGAAAGCGACTGCCTCCAAACCAATGTGTTGTTATATAAATTCAATAGCCTGCAGGAAATGTTTACTTAAACATCTTCCTCTAATAAGGCAAACAGATATGTCCCATAAGTATTATTAATTCATTAGATTAAGAGGGACTAGGTTTCCCCCTCTTTCCCCTTTAACCGTCTCCCAAGGCTTCCTGATACCTTCAGCAGAGCCTGAGCCGGATCCTATAATGTGTGCCTGGCCTCGTTCGATCCCGGTCAATGTCCTAGATGCTGAGTGACAGGGAAGGGGGAGGTGAAACAGGACCCCTTGGGGTGCCTGGATGGCTCAGTCGGTTGGGCGACCGACTTCGGCTCAGGTCGTGATCTGGCGGTTTGTGAGTTCGAGCCCCGCGTCGGGCTCTGTGCTGACAGCTCGGAGCCTGGAGCCTGCTTCGGATTCTGTGTCTCCCTCTCTCCTCTCCCTACCCCTCCCCTGCTCACGCTCTGTGTCTGTCTCTCAATAATAAATAAACGATAAAGAAAAAAAAAAAAGAAAGAAACAGGACCCTGAAAATCAACAGCCTTTTCCTCTTGGGTGTTTCTACACATACAGCATGATTCTGGATCTCAGTCGGCTTCAGATGTGTTTGGGAAAAAAGTCACACATAAACTTTTAAAGCTGTAAAATAGACAACACAAAAAATCCAGCAGGCATTTCACTTATTTAATGACTACGTGTTGAAGGAATACCATGGGAAAATGCTGACGGGCAGCCCTAGACAGAGGAGAACACACATGGATTCGGCCTGGATCACTGCCATTTTCCTACAACAAAGATTCATGGCTAGTCACTGGGGAAACTGGCAAAAAAAGCCAAAAACCAAAACCAAAAAACAATCGACAACAAATAAGATCTTTGCCTTCCAGGAGCTTTAAGTCTACTCCGGGACGCACGGGAGCACACAGTTGCTTCGCGATGGTGCTCAAGCCCACCTCACCCTCGAAGAATAGTGTTCCTGTGCCTCGGCCCCCACAGCACATACCCGTGGAAATGCAAGTGGTTTGCATGGATCCCAGCTGCAAATACTCACTCTCTCTATTCTTGTCTGCCTTACCTGTTCCATATGCTTCGAAAAACCCCACATTTTTGTAAGTCTCCTGCTCCAGCACTTAGCACGTGACAATGATAAATGTTTGCTCAGTGGATGTTTGAGGCAGGTGCCCAACTGGCTATTTTTTTCCCAGGGCAAATGTGGTCACTGCCTTAATGCAAGCATAGGGTGCCCTTGAAATTCAGAGTGGGGAGAAACTCACAGGGCATTTGGACTGGACCTTACAAGCTTGGAGCCATTTGGCTCGAGACAGGGAGAAGAGCATCCCAAACAGGCAGGATTAAGAGCAAGAGTGCAAAGGTGAGAACAAACACGACTGGGGAAGTAGAAAGTGACCTGGACAGTCAGCTGTCACTTTCTTTTCACTCGCTACTTGACTTCCCCAATGTGGTTCCTAGTTTTGGGGTCTATCTCCTCCCTCCTCATGTGCCAAACTAGGAGATGTCCTCGTTCTTAGAAATGGCATGGGAAGGTTTCCCTGCTGGTATTTAATCTTTCCCATGTGTCCATCTGAGGTAAGTGTGGTGTGCCTCTGTTATTTACTGACCAGCCGTGCCCCCAAGTCACCAACCACTTCAGGACATGCTGAGCCTCCCCAAAGAGTTAGGCCTGGACACGTCACCATTTGGCTATGAGGAGAGCCAAGGAAAAGTCAGACTCTCACCCCTTCTGGAAGTATCTTCTTTTTCTTTCATGGTCTCTCTCGTGGGGAATTTCCTCTCACCGCCAACACTGTAGAAATCACTTAATGTCCTGACGTGAGCTTAAATCTCTCCCCCTACTGTCCTCCACTCCACCGTGACACTCTGATCCTACAATCCTTCCCACCACACATTCTGTTTGTGTGCTCCCAAACACATGATTCCCAGACACCTCACACCAATGGCACCATGGTTAATGAATGATTCAAGAAGCCTCTAAAAGGGGCGCCTGGGTGGCGCAGTCGGTTAAGCGTCCGACTTCAGCCAGGTCACGATCTCGCTGTCCGTGAGTTCGAGCCCCGCGTCGGGCTCTGGGCTGATGGCTCAGAGCCTGGAGCCTGTTTCCGATTCTGTGTTTCCCTCTCTCTCTGACCCTCCCCCGTTCATGCTCTGTCTCTCTCTGTCCCAAAAATAAATAAACGTTGAAAAAAAAAATTAAAAAAAAAAAAAAAAAAAAAAAAAAAAAAAGAAGCCTCTAAAAGGGAAAGGTACATTTCCTCCAACTGTGTTCTCTGAAACTCACTCTGTAGCAGGGGAGGGACATGGTAACAAGGCTAACAGGCAACACTGATGATAGAAACCCCAGGTCTAATATGGAGTAGACGTCAGTTTCTACAGTATCAGGTAAGATTCAAGAAATCCTGTCCAGCAATGTTCTAGAATTCAGGAGACCAAGGAAGAAATCCAAAGCTCTGTTGCTTTCTGTCTGGACATTCTGGATGAGTTATTTACCCATGGGCCTCAATTTTTTCCTCCAAGTTTTTATTTATTTATTTTGAGAGTCAGAGACAGAAACGGGGGGGGGGGTGGGGTGGGAGAGAATCCTAAGCAGGTTCTGACTGTCACTGTGGGGCCTGATGTGGGGCTCGATCTCACGAACCACGAGATCATGACCTGAGCTAAAAACAAGAGTCAGACACTTAACTGACTGAGCCACCCGGGCACCCCCAGACCTCAGTTTCTTCATGGTGGTGGTAATAATATCACCTGGCTGGCTTCAGGCTTATAGAAAGGATTGCAAGTATATGAATGCTTCATCAACAACTGAAAATCAAAACAAATATACAGCAGTATTATTATTATCCCAATAAGGAATGCTTAAGTTCTAGTAAGTTAATCTTACTTCTCCTTTCCTCCAAGAAGCAAACCATACAGCGGGTCGGTAGAATTAACCATACGGCTCTCAGGGACAACACGCTGCCCCCAGCCTTCTCCATGTGGCTTCTTGACTCAAGCAATGGTATCACCAAGCACCTGAAAGCCTCTGCTAGCAGAACCCAGAGACAGAAATACCTCTACAAAATGTGAACCACTGTCCCATAGACTGAGGGGAGGCAAGAAAGGAAAGGAGTATGAAAGAAAATGAGTTTCCTTCCTGCCTTCAGTCTGCAGGGGAAAGCACCCCTCTCCCCCGGTTCATGTACCCCATGCTAAAACATCAAATATTTTGCTTTACAAGGACATCCTAGTGGCTCAGAGATGCTGCAAGCAGTGAAGTTCAGGAGATGGCGTACGGAAAGTACAATTCCATGCGCAGGTTCAGAGGAAGACCGCTATCGGGCACACCTGAAGCAGCCCGAAGCTCTGGCCTGCCCCTCGGCCCGGGTAGGGTAGCAGCAAAGGCCTGAGCGCCGCAAATCCCCCACTGTGTAAATCTGAATAAAACCTGGGTTGAGCGCGTCAGATGCGTGAGGACGTGCAGTCGGCTTACTCAAATGCTTTTGAGTCCCTGCATTTTCTGTTTGGATAGAGACAACTCTTCCACTTCTTTCCTCCCATTTCGATCCTTTTCCACGAGATCAGGGATCTGCAGGTAGCAAAGACTACATTGGAAAGCCTAGAAATGGCAGTTGGAAAGACCCCGAGCGCCGACACAGAGGAGTTAAAGTAGGCAATGAATGGAAAATTGCTTGAGCTTTACTTTTAAATGATGCCGTTTCCAACTGCTTGTGTTCTAGCTTCTGCAGTGGTTTGGGTTTAGTGGAGGATTTTATCTGTGAAGCTGCCCCGTGTGGAGGAAAAATATACAGGCAGACTTCCAAATCCACGTTTTTCTAAAACTTCTGGCTCCGACGCTCATTATTAAGCTTTAATCAAGGTCACTGACCGTTGGGGTCTCACTTTTCTCATCTGTAAAAGAGAGATAATACCTCCTTCCTTACGGGGTCCATGGGAAAATTAAATGACACTGGCTATGGAAAGCTCCCAGCCCCACACCTGACACACGGCAGACCCTCAATAAATGCAGGCTGTAGTACGCATGTCCCTTTCTGATCTTTAAGGACGGTACTGCTCAAGGACTCCCCTTGTTCTCCTACGTAAACACTCTGAGTTAGCTTTCCTTTAAAATGGAGAGAAACTTCTAGAGATAACAATCACAAGGGAGAAAGAAGTAGAGGAAAACAGACAAGATCTTCCAAACAGGGCATTTTGACCTTTCACTGCCAAGAATCAGAATTTGATGTGTCCTTCATGTGTTTATCAAAATAGATTAGAGTTTTCACCTCTGCAAGAAAGGGCAAATCCTGGTATGAATCACATTGAAACGCAGACAAGGGATACACCGCCACGTCCCTGGGGGCGACCGGTCAACCCAAGAAAGCCTGAACATATTATTCTTTTACTCACCATGTTTACACTGGGGTAGAAAACCACTATTCTTTGGGGGACACAAATATTTCCTGCCTTTTCAATTTAGCAACTGAACATACTTTTTTCCACCACAGAGACTGTAGTTTTGGAAGACAGAGAGGATTCCTCTGAAATATGAGATGCTCAGTCTAAGAAGATAACTTAAGGACCTGATTCTTAACTGAACTACTATTAGGGCATGAAGACAAATGTGAACTTTTCCAATCTTTCAGTTTCAAAACCAGAGCTTTGATGGTCGTGTCATTTCCCTGCGACTTCTGCCCATTGAACTGCTTGATTAAGGTGATAAAAGGGGGCAGCTAGACCCCATTCCCTGAGCTCCTTCATGAGCACAGCTGCTAAGTAGGCCAGTGGGGACACTTGGGAACTGTGGTCACTCATGGGACTCTCATGTCACCCAACACACTTCCGATTCCCACAGATATTTGAGATTTGACCAAGTTGGGATAGGTCACGGATGGGTCATTTGGCATCTAACATTTTCCTCTAACCAAAAAGAGCTCAGACTAAGGAAATCATGTTAGCATTCCAGGTTATCAGAGGAAAATAAAACAAAAACTCGGTTGCCAAGAATTTGAGTCATTTCTCCATATACAACAACTTGAAGACACCTCCTCTTCGCTGGAAAAGAAATCCCTTGGGTGACTTACTGAGATCAAAGTCTTTTTGAAAATAGCAAACTCTACATTCTCTAGGGGACAGAGCACTGTCTGAATTGAATTTCACTTAACCTAAAGTTTCATGCCAACTTAAATGCACTGAAACCCCAATACTTATAAGAAGGCATTCATCTATTACTTGCTTATAGGTACATGGAAAAGCTATTACGAGGATAATCGGCTCAACTATAAAATGAAGCAGTCATACATAATGACACAAACAGGCACAAGTCATAAATTGCCTTTTCCCCTTCAGAAGCCATGCAGGCAGGCATTCAGTACATTCTTTTGTGCACAGATAAAACTTTTGCCTTGAATAAACAGTGTTCTCAGTCTTGTTTGGCCCTTACAAATACACTGCCCACAAAGCAAACACAAACAAATGCTGTTTCTTAAACAAAAGGCAGATGGACCCCTCTACCCTCAACAAAGTCACAGTATATACGACAGGAGACTGGCTCATGGAAGGGGCGGGCTGAGAATCTCTGCGTGCAGGTCCCCTGGGATCATCGCTATGCCCCAGATCTGGCCTCCTGGACACAACGGGCCAGTGAAAGGTTCTCCTGGGAGGCAAGTGGCTCCTCCGCCCCAAGCAGAGACCAAAGAACTGGAACGAAACGTTACCGAAAGTCCTAGCTAGGTCTCCCACTGAACCATCGAAACAGATCAATCTCTCTCTTCCTTCTTCTTCTGTCACTTGCTTATATTTATCTTCAGACAGTTTTCCTGAAAGCTATCAAAGTTCATTCTAGGCCCGGGCAGGGCTTCTTATTTGTTTTTGTTATTCCTGTTGCTATTATTGATGATTATTTTTTTAATACAGAGAGGCATGACTAGAGCAAATCAAACAACTAGCGGTATCTCAAAAGTGTAACTAAAAATGCGAACTGAGTAGCTAGTGCAGGAGAGCAGGTCTTGGCTCTATAGAGTTACCTGACTGACCGTGGCAAGTCACCTGACCCCTCTGGGCCTCAGTTTCTTCATCACATAATGAGGCTCATGCTGCCCAGCCTATGTACCAACTAGGTTATTCGGACGATCACATGGTAGCACACGAGTGAGACCATGTTTGCCATCACCAAGGTTCTTCCTACCCACTACCCATAAAAGGATGGTGATGGTCATGACCAATCAATCTGCCACAACAATGACCGTGACCACCACCATTTCCCGAGGGCCTGCTTTGTGACACAGATGACATGATGGCAGTCGCCTTACCAGTCAACAAAATGAAGTCAGATAATAAGCTTCTGGTGGGAAGGTAGCAGTAACTAATGCTTTATATTCTCTATAGTGCCTGGAAGAAAGCCGTACGCACACAAAGGGAAAAAAACATCACGTAGGGAAAAGAAACCAAGGCCTTTCAAAATAGCTGGACTTGGTTTCAAACCCATCCCTGTCATTTTTAGTTGTGTAACCTTGAAAAAATTATTTCACACTCTAGGACTCATTTCCTGATTTGAAGGGTAGAGATTAACATGAAGACAATGTATGTAAGAGTTCTATCCCGAGGCCTGGCAAACAGAAGGTGGTCAATAAATTAGTAAGTGTTCCATAACGAAGCAGGGTGTTTCAACCTTACTCCTCTATCTTTTCCCTGCTAAAGCTGTTTGCACCAAGAAATAACGTAAAACTATTAGGTCTTTATCCAATTCATAACAAACCAAACCGATTTAAAACAATAAAACAATGACGAAAATGACACAGAATAAAACGTATTTACCAAAAACCAACAGAAAACTCCCATTTCCTTGACAAAAATTTAGATGTGTAGGATTTGACCTGGGAAATTTGGGCTTGGTAGAAACAAATGCCATAAAGCAAAAGAGAAAGAAATGAGCCTACCGTACAAATGCAAAGGTTGTCAGCAAAATTAACATCTAGTGAGTCATGAACCTTGAATTCTAGTATCTAATGATTTTGATGAAGATACCCTCAGTTAAAAACAGAGAAAATTATTAAAATATTTACATTCATAAACCTAAGTCAAAAGATGCCTGGGATCAGGGGTACCTGGGTGGCTCAGTCAGTTAAGCATCCTACTCTTGATTTTGGCTGAGGTCATGATGTCATGGTCCTGAGATGGAGCCCTACGTTGGGCTCCTCGCTGGGTGTGCAGCCTGCTTGGGATTCTCTCTCTCTCTCTCTCTCTCTCTCTCTTTTCCTCTGGCCCTCCCCCTGCCTGCTCTCCCTCTCGTTCTCTCTCTCAAAATAGAAATTAAAACCAAAAAAAGATGCCTGGGATCAAAAAGGTACCCATGATTAAAAGCATCCCATACTGCCTTGATAAAGACACCAGCCAAAGGATGGAAAGCAAGACAGAATGGAGCAGGGGTTCCATTAGTGCTGATCAGAAGTGCCCCTGCCCTTCGCTGGAAGAGACCAAGGTGCTGCCGGCTTCCTGAGGGAAGACTGAGTGACAGCTGTCTAGAGCAAACGCTGAGCTTCTACAGGGGCAGGAAAGAGAAGGGATCGTTCACTCTCTGGTTGACATCTGAGCTTTTCTCAGTTCAAAAAACACTTTATTGTTTTAGAATAATTATGTCATTTTCCTGTAAGTATATGAAAATATTACACAATAATCACAGACATGAAAAAATCTGAGTCTATATAAGAGAGGGAATTTATTCAATGGGTATCTCTTCAATTCTGTGGCTTTGAAGGAGAAGGTCTTACAGATATTCAAGTGACACCTAACCAGGTAAAAGTATATGCTTTTTGCAGCTCATGCTGCAGAAAGAAACCTGTTCCTCTGACATAACCGTAGAATTTGAAATGCTGTACTTTGCTTTAGAGACCATATTCCAAGAAAGGACTCTAGGAGCGATCATCTTGTCATGGCCTTCGAAGGGGTTCAGATCTTTGAAGTTCTACTCAAAGAGGTAGAGTACTTTTGCCAAAATCCAGGCAAGGGAGTCAAGGGACACATGCTCACGGCTTGGCGGCCAGTCCTTAAGTCCTATCACCTTAGATTTGGAATCCGTAAGCCAGTTTCTGGGGCTGACAATGAGAAGTAAAGGCTAAGAGAAATAAAGGGGGTAAAGGGCACAGATTACTTCCCAGCTGCATTTCCTTGAGACTAAAAATAAATTAAATAAAGTAACAGCTAAAACTGTAATGAAGAATACTCCAGAAGTGGATATGATGAACCTGAAATAAAAAATGTGCTGTGAATAATTCACAGCATCTGTCCAGAGACAAGTAAGACCTGTGGATCTATCACCTTCTTATGGGACAGAATGAATTCCCTTTTTAAAAAAAAAAATGTTAATGTTTTATTTATTTTTGAGAGAGAGCGCGCGAGAGAGACAGAGTATGAGCAGGGGGAGGGGCAGAGAGAGAGGGAGACACAGAATCCCAAGGAGGCTCCAG